CTTGGAAAGAAAATAAATGGCGAGCATTTCTGCTGTCCAGGACTTCGAGGCAATCTTCCCTCCAAGTTGTGAGGGTCTCAGTCTTGCGGAATAGGAACTTAGAGGGAGAGGTGATTTGCCTCTGTTGTGGTTTTATCCATTTTAGATTAAATAGATGGTCCATAGTGGGTTTAGAAGATATGTCTGTGGCATAACCAAGAAAGGTAATAATAAAATAATACTATATAGCATATATATACTATATAGCATATAGCATTCTAGTGCGTTATGATTGGAGTCTCATTCTGTATTTCATATCTTTCTAAGCATTCTGTCTTGGAGAATAATATTGTTTGAGCATTATTAATGCCTTAAAATATAATTTCTTTTTTATTTCTAATGTGATAATTCAAGAAAAGGACCAAAAGGCCAAATTCTATACTGCAAGGTGTAGTAACTTCCTTAAGGAACGTTCTAGTTACCCTCGGATACATAGAAACTTTAAGGATGCTGTTCTCAGTGGTAGATTTCATTTTTCAAATAATAAAGTTTTTTTTTCCCCTTTTAATGTGTAAAGCTGGAAAATACAGGTGAAAAATCACAGAATTATACATTTCTAAATAAATACTTATGAAATATGAAATGAGTTGAAAGATAAATGTCTGCGCAGAACAAGGAATCTATTTTCTAAATAATCTTTTTTTTTTCAAAAGACCAATGCTATTTTTGGATTAAACTATATGTATTTATTATTGTTTTCTAATTTGATGTTGAGTGGGAGAAAAAATAAGCTGTAGTTGTTGAGTTACATTCTAATTAGACTAGAGCAAACTACTGTGAACTTGGTTGCTGTTGGAATGAGCACCTGGAGTGCTTGCTGACTAAAAAGCTCTGTGTGTTTTCATTTGTCTTCCATTTCAGTCATACTGTGTTCCAGTTATGTTCCGAAGTAATACTCTTCTGTCTATGTGGGATGCTGTGAATAAAGGAAAATAATGAAGAGAAACATTTAACTAAATTCTAGCTGTGAAGCTTAAGGACAGTTAATGCAACCTGGAATAGTACTTTAGCTGTTTTAAAATCAAACATATTGGTTAGAGAGAAATGTAAACTGTAAATAGAAATTTACATATATCTTTCCTGTAATTAGAAAGAGGAATATTTTTAATATTTAGAAATGAGTGTGCCTGCTATGTAGTATTTGGATCTTAAAAGGCTATGTTTYCAACCCCTAAATAGAAGTGGCTCTTGGAAGTTAAAGAGGTACTGAGGAGAGACTGCTTTTCAAAGTGCCTACGCTTTGGGAAGAAGGTTAAATGTGTACATTTTCTTAATATAATTTTTAATGAAAACAATCTGAATAAATTTCCCTTCTTTAACAATATCTCAAGTCAGGTAAAAGCCAAGGTATCAATTCTTAGGTATTTCCTTGCCAACATGAGTATATCACTCTGTTACTATCTCTGTTTCAGTGATTTAATTAAAAGCAAATTGTGAGCTTAGTCATGCAGGAGCCTTATCTTCTAACAGGAGTCAGGGAACTGTTGTTGTTTTCAGTTTAGCTGGAAATAGGCTGCCCAAAAATAAAATCACGTTGTTATCCAATCTGAAGAAAATGCGAGTCATTTTGTATAGTGCATGCTGGGTTGTTGCTTTTTGCTTTGCTCCATGTGATTATTTTGCATGTCAGGCATGTTAGTTGGAGAGTTTTGTTGCTTTATTCATGTGGTGGGAATCAGAGATTGAAGGGGCTGTAGAGCCTTGTGTCGCAGGAAACACATGAGCAGTAGGAGTCCGACTTTTATTGGGATCGGTGGGCGGTTCCTGTGTAACTACTTATCTTTTAGGTGCCTGCTTTCACTTTCAGCGTGGCCTTTGCAGTTGGAATATTTTAAAATGCTATATGATTTTAAAGGTTTTATTTAAAAGGTTTTTCCTTTACATCAGAGACAGAAGTTACAACTGCTAAAGAAGGAAAGAAATTATTGCACCCAGAAATATCTTTCCTTGTTAAAAATCCTATTCAATTTTTCATAAAAGCGTTGCACTTTTGCCTAAAGTATGAACGATTGCTTACTAAACCTCACTAAACCTCTTTTTTTTTTTCCCCCTTAAGAATTGACAGAATTTCTTAAGAATTTTCTAGTGAAAATTGATATGGTATATTGAGTAGGGAGATTAAAAAGAAAAACCTTTTCCTGCCCAAGAACGTTCATTGGATCAAATGTATTAATTCTGTATTAATACTATATGGATACTTGGGAAAGCAAGGATATTTGAGGAAAATGAGATAATTTAAGAATAAAAGCGGCCTCTATGTCTGATGCTAATTGCAGCTAGATTGTGTTTCCTTGTAGAAGGGATTCTTCCGTATGAGTTTGAGATTAGGTAATGAATCTATCACTTGTGTAAAGTGTAACTCGCGTAATTGTGTTGGCAGGTGGGAAGGGCAGTGTAATCCATTAACCTGCTGCATTCAGAGACCTCAATTCCTGTGTACGTTGAATTCTTTAAAGATTCTTCAAAAATTGAAGAATGCTGTGGAAATAAATTATCTTAATAATAGAAATACAAAGAGATAAGAGAACAGTCAGTTCAGGAAAGACTACTGGGTAATAGCAAGAAGTGTTCAATCAAGATATGGAGATAGTAACAAGTGTAAAGGCTATAAATTCTCTGCAAGAAATGCTATTGGAAGAGGTAATAATATCTGGAAGACGGACTGATAAAATTTACAAAGCAAAGAGGAAAAAAAAAACCCAAAACTTTTTGGTCACTTCAGTTTCATTGGCAAAACTTTTTTTTTTTTTTTTTTTTTTTTTTGGATCACACCATTTTAGCAAGTACAAATAAGGACATGTTGTAGGACATCTCTAAAAGGACATGTAATTAAAATATTATACTGAAATTGAGTTGCCTTTTTCAATGAAAAAATTCTTCAAAGGACACTATTTTCCCTGTTTGAATGCCTTCCATAGCATTTTCCAGCAGTTATCACTTTGCTGTGCAGTTAATTATGCCAACAGGAATGAGAAATCAGTGATGTATTTGGAGAAGGGCAAAATATTTTTGGAACGCTGTAGTAACTAATTATAACAAACAACAAAGTACCAAGTAATATTATTGTCTGTCTTCAGTAAGTAAGTGAATATTTCAGTACAAGTGAAAGCTCGTGTGGAAATTTAACAAGAAGTTAGAAAACAAAGTATAAATGGCTGGATAACAATGATTTTTTTTTTCTTTTTTTGCCACACAGTGCATTTTTGATGAGCGAATTGCATGTTTTGTTAGTTCATGCGTTTAAAAACTAAATTTTACAGAAAGAAGCCCTGAGGGTGTAATCTTCTTTCGACTTGTTGTGCTTGTGTTTGGGATAAGCTTATGTAAACCAAAGGCATATATGCAGGTTTTGTGAGATAAGAATCTACATTCCAGCAGCAAGTAATTATACAATAACCAATTAACTGTTCTAATAAATACAATGTTTTCATTGAAAGACAGGTTCATTTTTGAGGTTGCGGTTACATTAACTATGGCCTGGGAGTTTGGGGAAAAAGCATAGCAACCATCATCAAATACTTTGAATAATCTCAGAATAGAAGCATGATTTTTATTCAAGTAGCTCTATCTGAATTTTGAGATTCTAGTGACTAAGGAGATTTTTGAGATGCAAGAGCCAAAGGTGGATTTGTATCCAGTGTTAATTCTTGTGTTATGAGGGTTGTGCCTGTATCTCTTTTGCAAGAGGGCTCAGTCAAAACGTTCCCCCTCACGGCTACACGCGGACATGTTAGGACTCACTCTGGTCCTTGAGCATGCAGTAAGGAAGAGGTTTGTTGCAAGGGGGCAAAGAGGGGGAAATGAATCACAACCTTCTCCAAAGGACCAGAATAAGTACAACACGTAGTATGACTTCTTAGTTTGCCTTTTAAACATAAACAAGGGTGAGTTTTACATATGTAAATGCTTAAAAAAAAAAAAAAAAACTTCACAGTAAAATTAAAGGAAACATCTTGCAGATGGAAAGATTTCACAAGATCAGCATTTGTGTCATAAGGATAGTTCTTGGTGGTAATGCATGCCCAGGTTCATTCRAGGATCGTTTAGAAAAGTATTTTCAGATGTAGCATATTTTATTTTWAAAAATATGAAGAAAGTATTGTGTGTGCTAAGATTTATCTAGCTTTTCTATCACGTCAAATTTTGTCTATTTAAAAAAGCCTCCATCTTAACATAAAAATCTGAAAATAGTTTATATTTAAATATGCTTTATTGTATGTTTTGAACAAATGTTTGTCATATTGTGTTATTTGCAGAATACAATTGTATTTTTGCTGGAAAGTATTGCAAGGTTTAATGTACCAAAAGGTAACCCACAGTATCATACAGTCATGATTGCCATTTGTTCATAATAATGATGCAAACATATGCACCTTTCCTTCACTGTTTAATATGGCTGTTGCTGGTCATTATATTGACGCACACAAAATTATATACTCAGATCTATACTTATTTATGCTCAATAAGGCAAGCACGTAGGTATACCCACACTGAATTGAGATCTGGTGATTCTCTTAGAGGTAGCTGTTACTGTGAGTAGTTTTTAAAGGTGCTAGGTATGAGTGCAACTGATAAATGCAATGTGATTTTTTGTGTGTTTGTTTTTATAAAAGAATTATAATGCCTTTCTCAGTGTGACGTGCTGACTCTGTGAGCACTCCAGTGCTCTAGGTGAAGTGGAGAATACATAGACTGCTGATAGATCTTGGGTGCAGGAATTTATCTGCAAGTCTAAAAGCAGTGTCCCTTACAGGCAAGTACGGAGGTTGCAGCACTCGTAATGGCTCATCGGATCTGCTCTGCCTACTCTTGTCATCTTAATGAAAAGGAAGCACATGCAGTAGTGTTGCCATTTTTTTATTATTATTTGGCTACTTCTATTCAAGTTTCCCATGATGTCATGATTCCTGGCATCGAAAGTTCCGTTTTTCCCTTATGCCGAGTGACTGCCCCCTCATCCCAGGGGATCACGGAGGGTACGTGGAGTCTCCCTCGCAGCAGGGAGAGCAGAGCAGTGTGTTTGGTGGAGTTTGGTGGGGTTTTTTTTGGTTTTTTTTTTTTTTTTCTCTCTCTCTTTTCCCCCCTCTTTGGTGGGAGGGAGGTGTTGTTTTCTTTTTACATCTGCTTACAATTGAGTTTTGAACTTAAAGCAGTCTTGCATCTGTTCCCAGACACTTTTCTGTATTTCAAGTTGGAAAACATTTGCACCTTTGTCCCTGGTTCTTCATGTTGTTTGATATAAAATTTTGCATTTCTTTTATTTTCTACATTTTTGCTTTTGCATGGATGCATACACAAGGCCACATCTTCAGTTTGCTTTCATTAAGCCTGATTAAACCGTCATGTTAAAAATAGATGACTCTTTCATAACTCTAAATAAAAACATTAGATCATTAATGTGCGTTTAATGCAAGAGGGCCTGAAGAATGAGATTTGTCAGTATGAGGGCTGTTGTTCTCATTTATTTTGTTATAAACATACAGAAATGAACAAGATTTTTAAAACACACTGTGTTTCTGAGGCTTTCTATTCATTCCAGACTTTTTATTAAATGTGGTCCTATAAGTTTAAAAAGGAGTCAGAATTTGAAATGTTTGAATGGGCATCTGTTTATCTAGATATTAAATGGGTAGAACATTACAGAGTGTGTCCATATATTGTTTTAGTGTTTGTAATAGTTGTTGAACTAAGGAAAAGCTGTTCACTTTTTTGAACTGCTCTTCTGGAGAAATTTCTGTGTGGAACTTCGGCACGTCAGGTTTCTTCTTTTGTGGTTGTTTGTTTTTGTTTTGTTTCTCTTCACTATTTTAGTTATGTCCTGGCACAATCGTATGTGTCAGATCTTGAGATTTTTTTTTCTTTCCAAATTTTTGGATTGCAGTCAGGGTTTCATAGTTGTACCTTGTTTCTCCAGCTGTATGATTTTGTTCATAATGTTTAATTTTTTCCTTAGCTTAAGCTATGGAGGAGGACATCCATCACATTCAGAAACAGAACTTCTTCACAGACAGACATACACAGCTTCTCATCAGCTTCCTGGATACTCTACTGCACACCATCCTACTGGTAACTGGCCATATCACGAGACTTCAGCTTAAATAGCTGAAGTAAAAAAACTGTTACATAATCTTAATTAATTTTGTAGTTTGAGGGAGTCTGTTATACAGGTGAGGGCAAATACTATTAAGAAAGCTGAGTTTGTWGTGGTGGAATAACAGTTACTAACTTTTGTCAAAATATCATCATAATGCATGTTATAAAAGGAAGATATAAAGGAGCATTTTATAAATACTCCTTTAGCTTTATAAATAATTGCTTGCTTTTAAAGAAACTCCTGCATATTTTTCTTTGAAAAACAGCTCTTCAGCTTTTGTCCTGTGCATGAGGGCCAAACGTTAACTATGTCTCAAAGCTCGCTGCTGAAATTGTGCCAGTTCCTTTAGTCTGAAGCAGATAGAAACAGTAATACAAGTTGGAACACACTGTTGCTAGTACTTACATGTACAACCCAAGCTGTAGCGCTGCAGGGGAAGTTAAAATTTATTTACAATGTAGTAGCACGTTAAGCTATGTTTCATCTACAACAGGATCCGTCCGTGATCCTGGTGATATCCTTTCTCCATGTCAGCACAAGGCAGGGCATGACCTCTTCCCCCTSATTTTGCAGTGCAGTTTCCAAGGGAAAGATACTTGAGGTCATGTGCTGGAAAGTGTCTGTGGTGCCTTGGCCAGGTTCTTGATAAAGACTAAGAAAAAATTGCAGAGGATATTTCAAAGCGCAGACCCTACAGGCCTGACGTGAACTCTGTTTCTCAAACTGTGTGATCTAACCCCTGGTTTCCATCTAGCCCCCTGCCCTTGAAAGGCAATGAGCTATAGTTGTTGAGGCAGGAAATGCAACCAAAATTTCTTTATTTGTGTCGCTCTCAGTCCTACAGAGAAATTGAAATTGTTACAAGTTTCCTGACAAGGGGAAAAGGTTGATACAAAGAAGTCGGACATATTTTTGAAGGATTTCTGTATTGAGTAAATCATGTAAAAAGTGGAACTGGGAGAATGCTCAGATGAAGGGAGAGGTTGTACTGGTAAAACTGCTAGAGCGTTGAAAAGTTGCTGTAGTTTAATAGTATTGCTCATGTTTCATAGGTTATTTTTAGTGGATTATAAATGTATGTCCTTCTTATTTGATTGGACTCTTTATAGTAAGTTCATCTGAATTGTTTCTTTTGTCCCCTTGCTCTGCTCCCATCCAGGTCTTTCGGGAATATTTGATAGCAGTATGCACAGTGCTGGAAGTAACACTAAGGAAACTTCAGTTATGAATTTTCTTTCTGCAATCGAGTCTCGAACTGCTCAGGCAGCCTCTACAGGATCTACCCTTTTACCACAATTCAGGGCTCCTTCCTGGCAGACAGGTGAAAAATTAAAATAAAATTATCATGGTTATATTGAATGCTTGGGGAGATGTATGATAAAAAAATATCCTAACTAACTGAAGAAGCTGCATATCTTTTCCACCTTAATATTTAAAATTTGAGAATCGGTGAAATATTAGTAACCTCAGAGCAGCAATTCTAATTGTTTAGAATTAGAAGGGATTTAGAAGTGTAAGATATTTTGTCTAATGAGCCAAACTTATTCTCTCTTCTATTTGGAATTAGTGTCACTAACATCATAAACATATTAAGGTAGACTACTATAAACGTATTAAGGTAGACTTACTTTGAGGTTCTAGCAAACCTTTAATTTTGAGGTTCGAATCACTGTCATAGTTTTTCTTTCTTTGATGGGATAGTTTCCAGTGTACTAGCAAGATGCTCTTTCAATGCAGCTAAGTGATCAGTAGTTCTGATTGAGTGAAGGAGACATAAGATATAAAGGGCAAAGAGTTGGACAGTCCTCTTGTTGACAGCTTGCACTTACTGTTAAATGTAATTTGAAGCTGTGTTCCATGAAGATCAACTCCAAAAGCTTTTAAAAAACTGAAAAGGATGTGGAAAGGCACCTGCTTTTCATTCAACATAGACAATGTAAGTCAATAGAAGAGCAGATACATGGGAGCACAGATGAAGGCACTGTTAATCTGTTTAAATCTTAATAACTAGTGGTGTTTAAAAGTTATAATGACCTGTCCTCACATCAGGTTGTCAGTTGGGCAAAAATCCTGTTTCCTGTCTTCCTCATAGTATTTTCTTCCTTGAAGCCTGTCTATAGCAGTGAATTGTGAAGAATGGGAAAGACATGATGGGTTTTGTTTGATGTTGAAATCAGTGACTGACTCAATACCCATAACTAAAAACTCCTCTACAAGCCCATTTTCAGTTTTACTCTAAGCTTTCTCTTTTCCTTCCATGCTTTTGCTCCTTTTGTATCTGTCAGTGCTCCCAAGTATCTTTTAGGAGCTTTGTCTCCTAGAAGTTCTTTTGAAAAGAATAAACAAATGCTCAACCTTCTCTCTTCACCATGATCTCCCTTAAAGACTGTATACTTTGTCTGGACYCTACAACTGCCAGCTTTGTGGGAAAAAGAGGAAAAGCATAGTTGTTCCGTTCCCCTATCAAGTCTTCCTCACGTGTGTGGGATGTGCTTGCTGTGTTCTGCTTTCTTAGGTTAGTAGGGAGACAGTGCACGTATCTTCACTGTATCTCTAGTCTACTGCTCTTCAAAAATCAAGTGAAAAAACACTAGTTCTACCACAGCACTGCTTCTGTAACTGGCTCCCCACTTGTCTGGTGTAAGAGCTTCCATGCATAGGAAGCAGGGTTTTAATTTTTAGGAAGGAAGGAAAAGCTACATGTGAAATGAGAACTGCTGAATATCTACAGTTAGAAATAAATTGCTCTGTCTCTTAGATCCTTTCTGTTGAGCATCTGGATGTCCTTACCTTTGTTTTTGTGATAGAAATTAGTAAAAGAGAACCTCRGTATCCATCATAGCTTTTATTTATGTATTTCATTATTAGGAAAATAAGTGTATTAAACATGGACTTCATTGGTGACTTGTGAAAAATATCCTGGCGTTTTTGCAGTCTGAGAATAGGATTGCTTGTCTCATTTTATTTTGTAGTCTCTTTAGAAATAGTTCAAAAACTTGACTAGAACCCAAGGACCCAAGAAGCAGATTACTGCTGTAGCTCCCATCTTGCAGTGAGAAAAATTCTTGTTTTTCTAGCTGAAGTACTACATTTTCTACATAATACATACTACATTTTCTACATACTACATAATAAGCCATTTTATACATTTCAGTTGGATAGTCATTATCATGCTGTGTATTGGTGGTAACTAGGTATGTATTTCACTTTAGAGAACATATAAATCATATATGTCYACCATCAAAAAATATGGTTGCAAAGCATATAGACTGTTAGCTGTTTCACTGTAAGCTCTTGAGTGCTGTTTCACGTCAAGTGAATTATTTGTAAGGAGAATTGCTTGCGATGAATTCGCTTGTTAACTATTGCAATGGGTATGGGTAATTTTTGCTGTATATTTGAAGGAAAATTGATATTTTCTTTAGTTATCCTCAGTATGAACTGAAATAAGAACAAATAGACAGCTTTCAGTTTCAAAGTAGAATTATTCTTGTACAATTTTCATTCAAACTTTGTGTCTTAGGTGGTGTTTTTTTTTCCCTTGACAATTCAATGCAGGTATAGAGTTCAGAATTTGAAAGTTGCACCAAGTGCTTCTGAGTATTTTTATGTTGCATAGTGATTCAAAAGAAGCTAATATTTGTAAATGTTGCAAGACCTTACAATAAAATGAGGTAAAGAAATGCAATGTTAAGCTTGTAAAGCTTTATTATGTTCTTTTTCCCTTTTTTGTTCTGTTTTTGTTTTTGTTTTCCAGGTATGCATTCCTCAACAGCCACAGAGCTATTTGTTACTGGAGCGTTGCCAACCTCTGGAACATTTCCACCAACATCTGCTTTATCAGCTTATCAACATCCCAACACTTTCAGCAGTAGAAACTTTGCTACTAGTCCATCTTTTACTCTTCAAGATACTACTTTCAGTGCTACATCGAATGGTATCTTAACTACCCATGATCCCTTATTACAAATTAAAACATCACAAGGTACTGTTCCAACTGCATTGACATTTGAGCGCCTGGGCAGTTCTGTTTTAAGTACCAGTGTACCCCCTCAGTCATCCACATACCGTTCTGCTCAAGAATCTGCACCTCACCTTTTGCAACCTCAGTTTAGTTTGTTACCTTCAACCCTCGGAGGAGCTCAGCAGGTTTCTCAGGCTTACAGCACGTCTGTCTTCACTGGTTCCACTGCTTCTATTGACAGAGCACTTCAGAGAGAATGTAGTGTTATTAAACACCATCAGCGGCCTTCAAGTACTCAGTCTGTTCAGGCTCAACTGACTGTTTCACAGCATTCCTTACACAGCTATTTAACGAGTACGAGCGGAGTTAATTTTCAGGATACGTCTAGGCACTCGGCGTTACCCTGTAGTCCAGTTGGAGATGTTACTCAGGTGAGCAATGGAGGACCACAGCAGAAGACTTCTCAAGTCACAGTGGAACTTGCTCAGTCCTACACGTCTGCAATTCCATCACCCGGTTTTCCATCTGCTTCCACAGCAAAAGTGAAAAACTGTTCCACAAAGCAGCCTCCAAGGTCAACAAAGACCCCCAAACCTCAAAGTGTAGCTCTCACTGTGCAGACGCAAAGCTATCCCAAAACTGCACAAAACCAGAGCTCTGTAATTACAGGCCAAGCACAGATCTATTCTACAGCACAGCTCCCCAGCCTCTTGTCTGTCAGCCAATCCCAAAACTATGTTTCATCCCAGAACATGCCACCTGTCAGTCCCTCGCAGGATTTCTCATCTAGCAAGGTTGAGAAGCTGCCCTCGTTGTATAAAACATTGACTTTTTCTGGGCAATCACAAACTATTACTTCTGACAGTCAAACGCTAAGTTATTCCTCAGATCAACAGGTACTGACTTCGGTTCCAAATGAGAACTATTCTGGGCAAACAAGGGAACTTTCTTCAGTCAGCCAATCTCAGAGCTATTCTTCTAATCACTCTCAGGGTTTATCTCCAGTTAGCCAATCCCAAGTTAGTTTTTCATCTCAGTCACAAGTTTTATCAGCTGTTAGTCCTTCAGAAAGCTATTCTTCAGGGCAGTCTTTAACACTAACATCACCTTCTCTCCCCTTTTCTGCCTCTCCTCGGATACAAACTCTTCCGGTCTCAAGTCCTAATCAGAACTTTATTTCTTTGCATTCTTCTCAGAACTCTCAGACACAAGAATCTTCCTCTCCACAGTCTCAAAAATATCTGCCATCTCCTTTTGCATCCCCAGCTCATTCACAGACACTGCAGAACAATAGGCCTTCCTCAGAAATAAAATCCTATGTTAAAAGGAAGTCTGACTCTAATTTGTATGCTTCATCAAAGCAAGAAGAAGATTTATCAATGCAGGATATGCAGGCGTTACAGCAGCAAGCTGCTCTTGAATCTTCCACCCAAAGGCTAACGGATGATGAAATCAGTGCTCAGGATGCATCCTACAGAGTCTCAAAAGCAGATGACAGATACGCTCAAAGYGTAATCAGAAGTAACTCTCGCCTTGAAGATCAAGTTGTTGGACTTGGTCTTCAAGGAGCAAAAAAAGATGAAAGAATGGTTAATTCTGTGGAACAGCTTTCCCAACATATTGGCCATATCAGTAGTATAAGCCATGATATAAAAAAGACAACTAATCTGATGCAAACGGCTCAAGTCAGTGTGGGTGCCAAAGAACTAAACCAGCAACACTCGCTCCTGCTTAAGGTACATGAAAGTAAAGCTCAAGAGCAGCAAGGCCAAGTCATTAGCACATCACCACAGGTTCAGCCCCATGCATTAAGACATCAGCAGTGTTTGCCTAGTGCGCAGGTGCTTCTGGAGTCTGCTTGTGACTTACAGATTCTTCATCAGTCAATTCTGCAGTCAGGTTTAGGACAAGCAAAGGTATTACCACAAGTGCAAAGAATACAGAGTCCTCAGCAGGTCACACATCCATTCCTTCAAATGGATGGGCATATTATTCAAAGTAACGGGGGCCTTCCTCAGCAACAACTTCTCACTCCGAATTCGGAAGTAATGAAAATGGACATTGCTGAGTCTTCAAAACAACTACAGCAACATTTGACAACAAAAGATCATTTTACTCAAACAAATCAACATGATTCGAAAAATCAATTTGTTTCTCTTAGCTCAATATGTTTCCCAGAAACTATGCTTCTCAGTGATGAGAGGAATATATTGTCAAATGTAGATGAYATTTTAGCAGCAACAGCAGCAGCCTGTGGAGTGACTCCATCTGACTTTGCCAAATCGGCATCTAACGAAGGAGAAATCCAGTCTGTTGAAAATAGCGAGGATTCTAAAACACAGTTTCGATCAATGGATGTAAGACACGTGTCTTCTGGTTTCAGTGCCTCACCTACTGTAGTTGGAAAGCCACCAAGCATAAACAATATTTCGCTGAATGGAGGCCAAATTACTATAAACCTTACCCCTGTGTCAGCAATACAGACAAAAACTGTGAACCTTGATCAACACCATATTGAGGCTGATCAAAACGTGCTATCTAGAATGACCTCTCCCACCCTTGGCCATGGTCAAGAGGAACAAGAACCAGGGATTGCTTCAGTTAAGAAACAATCTGGCATCAGCCATGAATCTGAAGAAGACACCGATGTTCCTGTTGATGGTACACTGCATGCAAGAGAGACAGAATTTGTTTCAAGTGGTAAAAGTCTAAGTGAAGAAAGTGCTACATCTGAGAATGATTTCAGTATGGGTTGTGATGATGGAACAGTAGCAGCTAACCAGTCAAAAGGTCCATTGCAGCAAACAGCTGTGCCCCAGGGTGGAGAGGGAACCGTTAGCCGCCCTGAAGAAGAATGCCAAGATTTAACTTCAGGGAACCTTCAGAAGAAAAAGAGCAAAGGGAAAAGCCAAAGCAAAAATGGTGCAGAGGATGACAGTGCAGCTCAGAAACAGATTAAAAGAAGTGGGCAATGTAAACGTCAAAATTCAAGAGGAAATGATTCCTGTTTGACATACTCTTCTCCTGTTTCTGAAAGTTATGATTCTTACCAGCATCAAGAAAGAATGCGGCAGAAAATCAAAGAAGTTGAAGAAAAGCAACCTGAAGTCAAAACAGGGTTTATTGCTTCTTTTTTAGACTTTCTAAAGTCRGGGCCTAGGCAACAGTTTTCAGCTCCAACTGTGCGAATGCCAAACCGGACTAGGCGGCCAGTTACCCAGATGGTTCGTGCCCCTTGCCTGCAATCGCCTGCAAAGCCTCCGCCACCAGCAGCCCCTGCAGCTGCAGAGGTTAGTGGAGAAAGTCCAACCAAAAAAGCTGATGAAGAACTTAAGAAAAATTTAGAAGCGTTGCCTTCATTTTCTTCTGATGAGGATGATTCTGTGGGAGGCAACCATGATCTTCAGAAGAGCATCTCCACTGCATTGTCAGCTCTGGATGACACTTCTGACAGAAAGAATAAATCAGGTAAAATAGTTATTACAGTGGTGTACATTGAAGGAGATTTCTATGGCCARTGGGAAATGGGGAATAATATTTACTGGTTTAAATTCAAATAAAAGTTTTCATCGTTTGTTTTTAAACACTGTTATTAGGGCATAAGCTTAAGAGTATTATTTGAACGTGCTACATATGAATTAAACAAGCATTTTCCACAATTAAAAAATTTGTAGACAGACTTTTATACGCTCTTTRGCTAGGACAATTTTAATGCTAAAAAATAGTTTAGCTCCAAAGGAGAATAATGCCACTTTGCTTCCCTAGCCTAAAATGCTAAATAYGTTTTTTTTGTCTGTACACCTCAACAAACGATTATATCGTATCTAGTGGTTTTAAATCCTAGCAAGAAGAGACGTTGGGAATTGCCATCAGCAAAGACTGAGTTCCAAGTTACTTGTGTGCATTCTGTTGATGATGTAGCTGTGCTGAGCATGTTTGTGAAAACAGTTTTTACACTTATAAACTGAATGAGTGAACTTGTCCAAGATGAGAATCTTCAGACTTCAATTTCAGGATTATTAACTGTCTGCATTGTAGCTTCTCTTAATACATTGTCACAAAAAGAGGAAAAGCTGAGGCAACCCCATTTGTTGATGACAGCCGTGCTTAGCCTTCCACATGCCTGTTTTTTTTTTTGTTTTCAGTTCTATTACATCTATGCTTTGTGGTACAGACTGGTTCTGTAGAGCTGCTATTAATTCCCTGTTTTGCCTGTTTTTACATATAAATGCAGGAAGACGAATATAGAAGACATTCCTTTTTTAGTAATACTACAGTAGCATATCCACATTTAAATGTTGTTCTGGAGAATTTAAATGTACACGTGAAACTAATAATGTTTTATCTAATTAAAACCATCAAAGCATTCACTGGTCAAGTTAATATGTTTGTAGTAATGTGATAAAATATATCCAGAAGAAAATATTTAATGACTCAGCAATTTTACTGAATTGTTTACATGACTTTTCACGTACCTGATATATTAACATTACAGTAYAAAACCTATATACTTAAGTGATGTCTTTTGTATCTTCCAAGAGAAGTCAATAATAACAGTATAAAAATCTTAATAAAGTTGTTAACTTTAAAGAATATTTCTTAAGTAATAATTGTATCTACACTATGGCTTATAATTCTTTTTTTCCCTTGGGTTAGCAAGCCAATGTTAAAATTATGTGCAAAGAATTTGTGGTAATATCAAAAAGGGGTCTGTTTTTTTTTCAGGGAGAAAGAACTGATCATTTTGMAAAGTTGTTTCCATGGGCTACATGACATAGAGAAGAATATTTTTTCCATTCTCTGTTTTGTATCTTCAGTTGTTATTGCTCGTTATGTTGTTAGTATTAAATCATCAGAATGTTGCAAAAATTTTAATCCAGAACTTCCAGTTTCCCTGTTGCAAGATATAAGCAATAAATGTCCAAAAACTGTACAGTGATGTTTTCATATTTCATTTGTATTTCTCTTAATCTAGTTTAAAAAACCTCATGAGCAGATGGGAAGATTCCTCATTGTAACTTCTTTGCTGTTGTATTTACTTAATCACATATAATATTTCCTTTTTTCTGTAACTATCAAATTTTCTGAGTCATCAATTATTATTATTTCTAGATGTTAACAGGTGCAATAGCTTTATACAAACAGATGAAATAGTTTGTTAGTGGTTTAGTTATGGCCAAATTAATGCTCCTATTTTAACTTCTATTTTTTTCTAGGGTAGTTGTTTTTGTGTGTATTGTAACAGAAAAGAAAAAGAAATCCCTTATGTTGCTGATTCTTCATTATTTGTGTAACTAAAACTTGTTTTTCTGCTTCAGAAGCTGAAAAAGTGGCARTTACTGCCACTGCTGCTGCCACTACTGCTGTAATAAAGCAGGAACCTCCACAGACAACTGCTCCTGTAGTCAATGTGCAGGAGAAAATGAGTTCAGCTGATCCCCTAAAAGTAGCTCCACAGGATGCTGTGTCTTCAGACCAGTTAGCAAAAATGCAGGCAACTGTTGCAATAGAAGGATGTACTGATGAGGAGAATACGGACAGTGGAGGAGAGGGCATGTACAGAGAACGTGATGAATTTGTAGTGAAGATTGAAGATATAGATACACTAAAGGTAATCCAAATACTTTCTGTGAGTAAAGAAAAAATATTAAAAATAGAAAACAAGCAAAGAAACAAAAAAACTACAAGGGAATTTAACTTCAGTAAACTAGAAAAAGGGGAAAGGCTGCATCWTAATTTTCTGCTGTATTCTGATATTTTCTAGTTGCTGTTAAGATGTCTTCAAGGTGTCCTCCTAGCGTGGGTACCGAGTATGTTTTGTATGCATGTAAAACGTCTTGCTATTGCATACATAATAGAATAAATCTCTGGTAGCCTCTGTTAGTCTTTAAAATTATCAAAATGTTTGACCAAAGCCATGCCACGATTAAGCTTTTTTTTATGTTGAAAAACATTTTTTTTTCAAGGACTGTTCAGACTAATGTATTTATCTGAAAATAGTGGGCTTTCAAGAATAAGGTGCTGAAGAAATGACTCAGGCTTTTTCAAACATCCTTGGAATTGCCTTTTCTGTAAGGAGTTCAGTTTGCTTTCCAGCAAGAAAGGGCTTCCACATGCAACCAGTACAGCCCTTAACATGACTTTATGGAAATGTTGCTTATTGTCTCTGGTTGTTATTTTTTGTTGTTTCTCCATCTTAAATTCCAGCACCTGTTTAGCTTTCCTTTCCTTGCCATCATAGTTGGCAATGTTGTTGTCATTAGTTTCTGATACTTTCGATTACCTGCTTATCCTCCTGAGCTGAATTTTTAAATTAATKTAACTTTATCACCTAAGACAAGTGATACCAATGTTAAGATATTTTCTTGTGTCACTTGTAAAATTATTGAAGTTTATTTTGAATAGTAATATTTGTGGCATTTATTTCTTTATTTAAACAGCCTTTTGAAAATATATCTGTCCTTAATTGTGCTCAAAAATATATTTTTGAGCTAATAGTTTAAGTGTACAGTTMATATAACAAGTCATTCATGGCTCTAATTACAAATATATTCCTAACATAATTTCTCAAACTATGTGAAGGAAAGACTTCAAACTTTTTTGTTTTAATGTCTTAATGCTGAACTGAAAATACAACCCCTATCTAGTTCACTAGTTTCAACTGAAATACCTATTTTCACATTACTGCAAGCATCATGCTGTAATGTCATAGGTAACTATGGATTTCTGCTTCTGCAGAAGTTCTGTAGAAACTTGCAAGCCTTTTCTGCTGCTTGGAGTAATTATTACATTTTTATTTTTAAATTATTTCATAGAGCAAAGCATTTTTTAAAAAAAGTAAAATGTCATATTGTATTTGTAAGTAGGTATTTCTATGACTCAGTTGCATATGATACACTAGTTAAAACATCACAGCATAGATGAAGCTGGATGGTACATCTTCACCCCTTTGGAAGGTAAAGTTTTAGATTGTTATGCTTATAGTAGTTCATGTCTTACTATCCTAAAATAAATGACACATCATAATAAAGGAGTTTAAATTTGAATTATTTTCATTTAATTCATGGATGATTTGCTCAAAACTTGCAGTGCACAAGTACACTTCTGGAAGAAAAACAGCACCACTTTTAGCTATCTTTTTTTTTTTTTTTTTTTCCTCCTTACAGATTGCATTACAAACAGGAAAAGAGCCTCCAGCTATTTGGAAAGTGCAGAAGGCTTTGTTGCAAAAGTTTGTTCCTGAAGTGCGAGACGGACAGAGGGAATTTGCTGCTACTAACAGTGTGAGTACAGAAATACCTTATGAGCCCTCAGAGGAACTGATTTCCTAAATGGAAACGTGGGAAAGAATAAAATGTGATGCTGGTGTATGTYCTTAGCAAGCTGCTTTGCAAAAAGTTCTCGTGATCTTCTGCTCTGAATTCTTTCTAATATATTCAAGAGCAAATTCTTGCTTTCCAGCATGGGTTCTTTGATATCATTCAGGCCGGGTAATGGAACGAAATTTCGCAACCGAAATAAAGTCAGTGGAAGCGGACTCGTGAGCCAAATGTTTTTGACGATGGAAAGGATACAGATAGGACAGAATTTAAACAAGCAGCCCTTTGCCAGCAGATAATCCTGTTGGGATAGCCCATGAGGAGATTTAAAAATAGGAGGAAAAGAAGCCTAAAATGTCTCTTGCCTTATTTTCTTGTTTGAAATATTATTTGGAAATAGAGAATTCCTCTTAAATTATAACTGCTGTAGGATGCTTCAGATTGGTATAGAAACAGACAGTTTTTAAATTGCTTGTTTCTTTGTTATTTGAATTTGTAATTGTTAAGCCGAATCATTTTACTTACTAGAAACGCATGTATTTATATCATTTGTTTTATCTCTTCACAGTATCTTGGGTATTTTGGTGATGCAAAAACAAAATACAAACGGGTGTATGTGAAGTTCATTGAAAATGCAAATAAAAAGGAATATGTCAGAGTATGTTCAAAGAAACCACGAAGCAAGCCTGTACAGTCAGCAAGGTATTCTATTTCAGTTTAATTTTCATTTTACTGTATTGTTTGATAATGTTTAATAAATAAGACATGCAAGACATCTTTCAAAAATTTCCTAATTCCTCTTAAAGCTAGGTGTCTCTCTCTCTCTCTCTCTCTCTCTCTCTCTCTCTCTCTCTCTCTCTTTTCCCTTAAGCCTATTTTTTCATTAAATACTAAGTTTTAATATTAGCTTCAGTCTCCTATAGCTTCTGTGTGCTAAACTTGTCTCGTAACGTGATTTTGACTTTCTATGCTTGTCTAAATATAAAATCATAATCTTACTATACATACAGTTACCCGGGAGACTGAAATAAATATTTATAATCCACAAGGAATATCTTCTGGTTAAATAAGTATATATTTTTATTAAAGCCAGAACTTGTGGGGTATTTTCTTTTTTGATAGAAGTCTTCATAATTTTGCAGGACTATTCATTGCAAACCTAGCAGTAGTAACAACAAAACCCCTGATCCTCCAGCACCAAAACCAACAGCAACAAAAGTCTCTTCTGTGAAACCCAAAGCTAAACAGCCAAAGGTAAAGGCTGAACCACCACCAAAGAAAAGGAAAAAATGGAAAGAAGAATTTTCATCTTCCCAGTCTGATTCTTCTCCTGAGGCACAGAGTGATGAGGATGGTGAGTGATGCACTGCAGCTGGCATCTCGTATTATAAAATCTGTTGCTTGAACTTGCAGATTTTTCTGTATTGGTCTTAGAAAAAAAAATGCATGAAAATCTGTCAATGCTCTGCACGGTTGTTTTCTCAAAACCTTTTTCTTATTCTTTGTATAAGAATTAATGTATCCAATGGAGTTGCCTCAAATGTAGTCTATTAGTAAAAATAGAGTGGGAGGAGTATGTTTTTACTGCTCAGCTCTTAACTGCTACAGTTACAGCAGAAAGCTGATTTGACAGTAAGTTACATAGAATCATAGAATCATAGAATCCTTAAGGTTGGAAGGGACCTCAGAGGTCGTCGAGTCCAACCCCCCTGCACACACAGGGTCACCACATCTCATTGATTAAATGGTTCATTAATTGTCCGTTGCAAATTCACATTATATCTAGCATAACATACCTGCAAAGCTTGTCCTCAGGCAGATATGAGCAGAATTTAGATGTTGCTGTTGATCTTTTCATAACTTAGGAAGAAAAAGCGGTTGAATTTTGGCTATTTCACTGCTTCTCTAAATGCCAATGTTTGAGTGCAGTCTCTGAGCACATTTACTGTAAAGACATTCACAGAGTTGGGGAGCTTGGAGATACAAATTTGGCAAACAACAACAACAAAGTACCACGTGTTATCTGATTTATTTTTTTACCTGGGTTTGGTTTATGAGTAGTCTGGTGTTATTTCTGATTAAATTGGCTATAATCTCTTGGGATACCAGTAGGGGTCACTTGTGTTTTAAAAATGAAAGCCTTCGGTTCTGAAAAACAAAAATGCTTGTGGATATTTAAGAAAGAAAAGTCAATATATTGCAATTAATTTTCAGAGCTTGTGCCTCCAGCTCCCTTTGTTACTCGCTTTTTGAATACAAGAGCTATGAAAGAGACTTTTAAGAGTTATATGGAGTTGCTTGTTAGCATTGCCTTGGATCCAGACACGATGCAAGCCTTGGAAAAGAGCAATGGTACAGTATGTTTAGCCTTTATACTGTTTTTATCACATTTTAAAGTTAYTCATTTGTAACCCAAACATATTTTTAAAAAGAGGAGGGGTGGGGGTAGGAAAGGAAGCCCACTGAACTTCTAGTTATATGCCAGCATCTGAAGTGCTTTATCTACTTTGCATTGTGCAGCTGCAGTTGCACACTGCAGTTTTATACTACGTTCCRTTTGCAGGATTTTATAAAATTATTTTCTAAGCCTCTCCCTATTCTTTAATTTTCTGTTTTGCTTTGTGCATGCATGCACAATTATTTCAAGGACTCATTCCTGTGTGTTAGTCCTGCAGAAATGAGAGAAGCTGACTTTATATTTAAGGGACTGTGCTCACTCAAAAACTCCCTCCTACAGCCTGTGTTCAAAGATATATTGTGCAATAAAAGGTATTGTGGAAAGTAAATGCTGGCACGGTCATCCCTTCTGTCATAGGGAATAGAAAATATCAAAAACATACTTGTCATCTCAAAACTACAAATTGTATCGTGTGGTAGAGGATTACTTAGAAATCTGTTTAAAGTTGTCYCTTGGATTTATTCTCTATAAAAAAATCTTATTTTTTTACTTTTCAATTAAGAAAAGCAGAAGGAGCTACATTGCAGTTATCAATTAAACCACATATCTAAACCATTTGAGTAAGCTGAGATTTCCCTCACGTATTTAAAGTGGATTTGCGAGCAAATTATATAACTTTTTACTTTTATTCTTTTATGTTAATGGGTATAGGCATGTCTTGAGTAAGCCTGATGAAATATGTTTCTTAATAATCTTTTTTGTATATCTTCTAGATGAGCTACTTTTGCCTCACATGAGAAAAATTGATGGCATGCTGAATGACAATAGGAAACGACTGCTTTCCAAATTGCGCTTGGATCAGACTTTCAAGGTATTCATTTATTAACTCCTTGCAGTTTTAATAACATTATAAAGCGAGTCACTGAATGCGTGCCACACAGGCAAAACTGAAAACCAAGAAGGCAAATTTTGAACAGAAGTGAATGTGGACTTGAAAGAGAAGGAGGTGCTAGAAATTCTGTGCTTATGTATAGTATTTGAAGAGCATTTTATGATGGAGATGTTTATTCTGCAGAGGTAAATCTCTTTTATTCCCCATGCTTTCTGGTTCATTTTCAAAGATTTTTACTCTTYAAACTTCAAGTTTGCCAAAATAAAATATTTGCTGTCATTTCAGAGCTTTTGGCTAAGTATTTTTATTGCTTTAAAAATCTTAATAAACTTTTCAATGGAAGAGCATGCTGAGAATCAACTGTCTGAACTTTCGTGAAGTAGAGAGAACGTCATCAAAGTATCTTAAAACCAGGGCGGAATCATCAGAGAATTCATTTGTTCACTCTCTTTCCTCTGAGAGAAAGTGATGGGGAGCCCAGTCACTGCAATTCGTGCTTTTCCCACACACATCCCTGGGCAGCTGTACAGTTCAATTTCTTGATGGATTTTAAAAGCTCAGTGAAGTGAGCTAAGGTTGATTTCACAGATGTTTGAGAACCAGCTGTCCACAGCTATCCATCATTGCAAAATGATAACATTTTTGTGACCAGCAGCACTGGAGCAGACCTCTCCATTACTTCCATCAAATCAAACTTGCTCTTCCACCAGTCCTTCTGTCCTCTTACATCCACAGTACTTTTTGAAGATCTGTTTGTCTGTCTGTTGTTCTGTCTGCTTATTTTTGAGATCTTGTAGAGGAACAAAGAGACGGTTATCTTACATGCCAGTTCTGCCATTATATCTTGAAATCTTTTTAAAAAATTTCTTTTACAGCCTATTCCTAATTGTCATGTGGGACACTAAGTGACTTTGCTTTGGAGATGAGAGCACCACTGAGCAGTGAAATGATTCTAGCTTACTTGGTTTTTAACGGAGTGTATGAGGGAGAAAGATTAATTCACTTCTCATTCATTACTGGAGCTGTGTATGTGCAAATGTCAGTTGCCCACCTTTTCATTGTCTAGTGCTGTTTTCCCAACAGCGAAGCAATTTTTTCCTGCTTGCACAGAATCTGTTGACTCCCTCTTTACAATTTGGAGGCATGTGGAGGACCTTAAACTATCAAAAAACATACAGATCCTCAGAGGAAGGATTGCATAACCTCCATTTTTTGTTGTTGTTTTGCAGTAAGAGTTTTGTGTTTATAGTTATTTCTGTAGCTGCTTCTTTTATACTTGTCTGTGCAGAGAAGAAAGGCCACATTAAGGTAGGATATGAATCTCTGGAATTCTAGTTATTCTGTGCAAAATCACAGAACAGAGCAAATAGTAGTTTATTTTACCTTTCCTCAATTTTCCCCAAAAGACGGGGGGGGGGGAAAAATTCTTCTGTCATACTAATGTGTGCAATGACAGGTGCTTGTTCGGTAGAGTTCATAACTAACATAATAATAAAAACCCCTTTGCTGTGTGTGTTCACCGCAAGGCAGTTGGTGAATTATGTCTCTAAAGTTAGCTTAAGCCTTGATTTGCAAATACAATCTGCAAGAAATTAATGGAATTCCAAGTATAAGTAGTAAGGGATGTGATGCAAACTGCGGGACAGAATGATGTTTATGTCTCAGTTTCTAGTATGAAGATAATGGATTTGTACCATGCTCAGGTTATTTTTTTGAATAAAAATAGAAACGTATTTTTGTCATCAGAAGCATTTGATTCTTCTGAAGATGCAGGTCAGTGTGATTATTAGTATAAGAAAGCCTGTTTCTGTTTCAGTTTTGATCAAATGACTAGTTCAATTATTAGACACAAATGAGACACCAAAGCAGTAACTGAAAAATATAATTATTCATAAGCATCAGTCAGTTTGGTTATTTTTAATATTGTATATTTGTAAGCGTGGATGAATTGAAAAATAGTCTTTTTCATTGAATTAATTTAAAACGGGATGTTTTCCCGTAAACAGCAGTGATCTGCCCAGTTTTATTGCCTGTAACTTTATGGTTCCAATGGTTTATCCCATGTTTGGGTGATAGTTTTATGCTGACAAAATGAGAAGATGTTACTTTGGCTGTAGCTTAAGCCTGATGRTGCAACTGCTTAAGTTTATTTGGAAGTAATTATTACTCATTTCTGGTTTTTGTGCCAAGATATTGAAATCACTAATATATTCTTCTCCTCATTACAATTTAAATTTATCTGTTTTAGGTCAGTACTCCTGTCCTGTAAACAGTTCTGGTTAATAGGAATTCGCCAGAGGAAGGCAGAAACAGCCAAACCCCTGATACTCAAAACTAGAGTTCACAATAGCATTCACAAAGGCATTGCAGTGAATAGAAAAAATAAATAATTCAAATTTGTTCAACTTTTGTTCCAGTTTGAAGACAGCTGCTGTGACTATTTTACATGTACAGGTTAGCCAGATGAGGTTACTGTTAACTATATGTAGCTATCTTATTGTACAGTAAATTTTATAGCTGTAAGGGTTTTTTTTAATAAAAAGAAAAATGKCTGGGGGTTATAAAGTGCTAGAAAAATGTCTGTGTCAATCCAAGTGCAGTTTATTAAAAATTAATTTAGTCAACTTTCTGTTTTGTCACAATAGTCTGTATTTAACTCCTTAAGCTGTAGCATTAATATATTTTCTTAAATTGTCATTTTTTCCTCATTCTGGAGTATAATACCAAGTTATATACATTCATTTAACTCAGTATTATTTTTCAGGATCAAATTATATAGCATATCAGAATATTTCAGAATAGCTGTTAATGTTGTGTTTATATAACAGATTTACATAAATGATTTAATGCAAAATGGAAACTGGTAAAAATGAAGCTCACCCCCGTGTCTTAAAATGAACTTTGTAAAGTTCYTTTTTTAAAGTGCTTTTTTAAACTGTCCATCTCTTTCACTGTGTGCAAGCTTTTCTATTTCAGTGTTTGATGAGAGGCAATTATGTTATATTTTGCAAAAGGAAAATGGTTTGTCCCAGCAAAGCTGGGATGCAACCCATGAAGATATTTAGGCATCCAGCCCCTGTAACAATTGGCAGATTTGCCATGCCTCAATAAGAATCAAGTGTCTAGGCATCTCAGAGTGATCAGACTGTAGAGACTCTTGAGTAGAAACAGGGTGGAAAGCAAAAAAAAGGGATTTTGAAAGATAAGAATTGCCTGCTGGAGCCTGTCTTTTTGTTCTAGTGAAGGAATTGTGGATCATGTATGAGATATAGCAAAAAGATCTTTYCATGTTGAAAGATTATAGCAGCCAGAAGCAGGTGGTCATGCCTTTCAAACTGTGTACTGTTGCCTGATAGGTATTGGATAAAGATTTTTCAGGTCTTTATGGAGGAATAAATTGTTTCATTAGCTGTATTTTAACTTCTCAAGGAAAAGTGGCTGACAGTTGTTATTTTTTTTTCATAATCCTTTCTCTTTATTTGCTCTGTTTAAAGAACGCTTTGGAAAACTTTCCAGAACTGACAGTAATCACTCGGGATGCTAAGGCAAAAACAGGGGGAATGTCTGTGTCTAAGATCAAGATGAATGGTAAAGCTTATAACAAGAAAACACTGAGGGCTTCTAAATCAACCACTAAGTTAGCACAGGTGAGTGTTCAGAAGGTTTATTGCTGCCATTATCTAACTTCTAATTGGATAACAACACTTGTATAAAATATTACTTAATCTATTTCATCAAAATACARATATACCAAAATGTAAAAATTTTGTTGAACATTTTGTTGAATTTTTGATGTAACTGAAAGATGTTAAAAGCAACATGGAAAGCAGTATATTAAGTCATTACTTAAACTCRTTTGTGAAACATAAATATTGTATTGGAGCAGGGAGAAAAAAATGCACAGTTATTCCCTATTTCAGTTTTTGAACTACAACTCTTCTATTTTAATGCATTTAGAGCAAAATCTGTCCAGTATGTTCATTCAGGAGTTTTTTTGTGGCCTTTGCAGGAAGATGGAGCTGAGTTTGTCCTTAGAATAGGAAGGAGAGGAGAGCTCTGCCCCAGCTCTCTCTCTCTCACCTGCTCCTGGAGCACACCAAGCAGCAGAGCCCCTTCTGTTATATCAGAAATGAGGAGATGAAGAGGATAATTATAATGCAACAGACCTTAAACAGTACCAAAGTATGTCAAGGCAGTTACTTGAATGAAACTTCCATTTCTCAGTTACTGAAAAGTGTATTTACAGAAGATGATGCCCATCATGTCTGTTTCTTGGAACAACGCATGTGTTAACGCAAAAATAACTGTTTTTTTTTGCAGGAATTTACTGTAGATCCAGAAAAAATACAGTTATATTCTTTGTATCACTCACTCCATCATTACAAATATCACATATACCTGACATGTAAAGAGGAGGTAAGTATTGCTGTCTTTATGAGATATTTTTATGTACATGAGGGGAGTTCACTGAGAGTAGTGAGTCCCAGTAGAGGGACTGTTCCTTTCTTTCTGGCAAATGAGTAGAGATTGTGGCCTCCTTGGATGTAAATAAATTCTTCATGGCAAACAAAAGGGCAGGCTGAGCACGGATGTGTCCTTGATGGGCACTGCTCCCCAGAGCATGCAGATATGGAGCTTGTGGGGTTTGTGTAGGAAATATGTCAGGAGGAATCAATTGGTAGGTAAGCATTCTTCAGTGTTATTCCAAAATAAACTAAATAAACTGCATTAGTTTGTGTAACTGCTCAGCTCTAGAATCAACCATGTATTAGAATGGCTGCTGCTTTATATTTTTGTCTGGTCGAAATATTCTAGGTAGCAAAACATGAGAGTGGAGCTCTGGCAAGAGCCACTRCTAAGAAATGCCATTTGTTTGGTTTTTGAACTTAAAGGTTTTCTTTCACAGAAGGGTGGTATTTAACTGCAGAACATTATAAAAACAGAAATTCTGAAATGCTGGCAGTCTAACCTGTATATGTGTATGCATGTGTGTCTGTCTTCTCTTTTTTAAATAGATTTCTTCTGTTCAGAAAAAGAGTGCAGATCTAGGACAAGAAGAGATTGTGCAGCTGTGCATGAAAAATATAAAATGGGTGGAGGATCTTTTTGAAAAGTTTGGTGAACTTTTGAATCATGTCCAGCAGAAATGTTCATAACAAAATCGTATCCCAAATCTCACATTTTTCTACGGCACTAACCTGAGGGAACAGAAAGCTCAGAGAAAGGCTCTGATTTCTTTTACAATGCCAGACTGCATTCTTGTTCATAGGCATTTTTATTTCTCTTTCTGGAACTTTGTGCCTTGGCTCTTGCTAAGGAAAAGTGATGCTGCCAAGGAAATCAGTCCTTTGAAGATGGAACTAAATGTAAACCTAACCACATTTTTAACCAGAAGAATTATTTTCTATTTTGTAAACTATTGGATAACTTAGTTTTATTTTCAGAAATGTTTTTGACAAATGATAAAGCATGCACTACGTATAYGTTTTTCTTTATTGCTAAAAAGATAACACTTAAAACACTACAGATTTTTTCCATCTTTGACTAAGCAACAGGAAAAAGTCAGCGTTGGGGTGAACTAATTTTCATGTATGTCTGGCCACCAAATTTAGAATATTGTACATTTCTTGAACAGAGTCGGAGTGACCAGTTCCTGCATACATACAATGCCATGATTAAAACAAAACAAAAAACCAGTAATGTCATGATGCTTTATGGACTCCTTTTACTATTGTCATGTTCAGGAGACTGAACATGGAGTTGGTGCAATCCTATGACTGCTTTTTGTGTCAAAGTATATTGTAATGAAAGACAATGACCTTAACTATTTTCCCTGTTTTGAAGAAAAAAAATATTTTCCTTTATACTGTTTTTTTCTTTTGGAAAAAAAAAAAAAAAGAATTCAATTGTACATTTTATCTCACTAATAGTTGTATTTTTCACAGAGGAAATATTGTGGTTAAAATTGTTTCATGTATCTTTGTAATACACTTTCCATTGTTTTCAGTAAATCCTATTCATTTATATGTTGATTTCATATTGTAAACTATATATTCTTGAGGTAACCCTTTTGTTTATACAGGTTTGCTTCAGTGTTAACCAGAATAATGCATTCTAGACTAGTTTTGCTTTAAGTGTAGTTGTGTTAGACACTGCAGTTATTTTCTGATATGTGAAAATAAATTTCTTACTAAACTAGCACTTGATTAACTGAGAGTTTTAAATGAGGTACTACTACACTTTATCTTCGTCAACAAAGATTGATGATTGAATAGACTATATGCAGTGTTAAACACAGCTTTCATAGTTGTTTGCAGAACTGGCAGTTGCAGAGCTGTTCTCTTCTTGGTGCCTTTCAAGTCTTCAAACATGTTTTTGTAGCTATTTTTTTCCCTCCAGTTTGTTAACAGTTAGTATTGCTACTAGTTACACTTAGACAATGAATGTATTGGGCTCTAATCAGGAGAACATTTTCGTTAAATTTGCCAGCAGAATGCCTTACCAGTCATTCAGGATGGAGATGTGATCTACTGGGGTCCTAAGAAAAAATAGGCCTGTTGTTCTTCAGATAATGTAGACAAAAAAGAAAATCCTTTATCCTTTCACTGCCACTTAGTGCCTTAATTTCAGCCAAGAAAGCAGGGTTCACTATTCATTGGCCAAATTAAGTAATCTTCATTGCCATGCGACCTGTTTTCCCATTTTCTGTTTTGATCGTATTTAGTTGTTAAATATTCATTAGACTGTAGAACTTTGAAATGTTTAATGAATAGTTGTGAAAATGGAATGATTTGATTTTCAGTAATAAAATAGAGGTTTGAAAAGTAAAGTATATGCAGAATTTTAGCTGATTAGTTTTAGAACCTTGTAGGATGTTTACTGTTTTTCCAAAGGTTTTCATCTTTTAAAAGCAATAATTCTCCTTCAAAATCTGTACGCAGACTCCAGTGAGCAGAGTGAGTCAAGAATGGAAATGGGTATGTGCCCCCCTGCCTTTTGAAAAGCCTCTTCGTAGCCTTTTTGCTCTAAAAAGGGAGTTCACTATCATACTACCGCTGTGTCCACGATAATCAAGGGGAGCCGATGTGTTTAGATTTAGGAAGACTGCGCAGGCTGTTGTACAATCGTGAAGCCAATTAATTTTAACAGGAACAAGGAAGGTAGATGCAGAGTGGAAGCGTCACTGTTGCTTTGGTCATTCGGTGTTAGATCTGGTCAGAGCTAGATGTTATGCGGTGAGCCCAAGCATTGGCGTTRGCAGCGTTGATAGTGGTGGGTTGAGATGGTTGTAATGTGACCGTGCAGCCCAGAGGCGTAACAGGAATGTGCCTGGGGCACCCGTTGTGCCGGGGCGCCCGCTGGAGGGTGTTCCCTGCTAACCAGGGTGGTCGGCGGCGGCAGTTCCCACTGCTGGGGGTTCATGAGAGGTGTTAAACTGCTCCAGCAAAGCCACATGCCACATTACAGTGGGATGCACCCAGCTGCTTGCAGCTCCTGATTTGTAGATTTAAAAATGAGTTGGATGGAGACTGAGGGAGCAAAAAAGTTGGCTCTTTGATTGTACGTAGGGAACTCAGAAGACTTTGTGTCTCCCTTTCTAATGTGGCTGAGAGTAACTCACAGAGAGAGGTTTCTGTGCTTATGAAATGGTTTGTATGCCACTGCTTTATGCTTCCTATGGATTTTTTAATAGAGGTAGCCTTCAGAAGCTAGTTGTTTTAATCCAAGCCCATAGATACTCAAAAAGAAATGAGAAGCTTTTGGAGTAGTTGAGTATTATTAAAAAGCTGGTGAGGTAAGGAACAACCATGCTTAGGAAAAAAGAAAAATGGCCAGGATGCTCTCCACTGCCATAGAGGCAGYCTGGCTTATTTTTGTTTCTTATATCCCAAGGCCAGTGAAAGAAACACTGTGCCTATAAAAGATAAGAGAAAGTTGTCCTGAACGAGACTCCAGGCTGTGAAAGATTCCTGTAATGGAGCTTCCGCCTTTGTCTTGGGCTGCCAACGTTGTGGCTGGATTACTAGTTCACCAAATCAGAATGGAGTGAAAAGGAACTCSCGAGTACGTGAAGGATCATAAAGCAAAGCCAAGCATTGTTAGTGGGATTGCAGAGGACTTTTATACTGAAGCAAACTTAGGAAAAAAAAAAATCAATGTACAGACTGCTTTTCACACAAATATTTTGCTTTTTTTTGTTGCATTTTAGATAATTATTTCTGCACCCACACCTCAATCTTCTTTTCTTTTATTGAAGTAACAGTGAGGTCTTCGTCCTTTAACATCTGCTGACCGAGGAAATCGAGCACTCATTTGACTGCAAGAGAAGATGCACTAGGAAGGAACAAAACTCTCCGTAGACTATGAATTAGCAAATTAGGAGTTAACGAAACTAACTGCATGATGAATTATCTGRGTTTTAATTCYGCCATCTATTCCTTTAATATGGCATCCCTATTTACATCAGGTTTGTTTTTATTGAAATATAGTGTTTCTCTTAAGGGCAGGTTTTCTTTGAGATGCTATTTCCAAAGTTTTGCTAGAAAAGAAACAGAGACGAAATTGGATTTAAAAGCAGTCTCTGAAAATGGCTAAGAGGTTTAGGGTCTCTAAAGTTCTGTGACATGYATCTTATTCATATATTGTCTAAATGGGATACTACTTTTTAAAAAAGCAAATCTTACATGCTGTCTTCCAAGTAAATGCTTTCCATAGGGGGAAATATATTTTAAATATTATTTAAATATTTACTACTATTTAAAACAATTTTAAAACATAGAAGTTAAAACTATGGTCATAAAATGTCAGTGTGTCATCAATCATTTCTTATTTTGTTGTCAACACTTGACATTTGGTCTCTCTTACCCTGTTACATACCTGTGTGTTTCATAATGCACATTCTGCCATATCTTATTGTTTAAGCTGATACTAACATGTTGTCGTTAACAAATGCATGTTTTCTGCATATCTCCTCTACATATGGCAAAAATGAGCTAGGGCTAATAAGAGACACTTTATGCCTTCTTAGTCCAGATTTTCAGATGGTCCGTTACACAATGTATGGAAATGTGAAAAAGGACAATTTTGTACCATTCGTGATGTTATTAACTAAACCATTAAAGTGAAAACACTTTTTAAACAAAGACCCTATAATGCTCAGTGATTTATTATTAAAATATTTATCTTGAAAACCTAGACTGTTGGGAAAAAGAGACTGTTTTCTGATCTTTTGATATGATGAAATACAGTTCTAGTGCTTTTTTATTATATTACATGAATTCAGGAACATGTATTTATCTGATTTTTTTTTCCTTATATGATTCTCAATGTTCTTGAACTCAGTTTCACTCTGTATCTGCCGTTTCTTAAATGGACATGACAAATGAGGAGCCAAGCAACTGTGTTAAATGAGAGGCTATGTTCTTCTGTGRTTCAAGTGTTTTTTGATTCACTGTTTTCTTTCTTTCCTTTGTTCACTAAGTAGAATATCCCTATGTACCTATGGGAAAATTGGTGCTAAAGGGTGGAGGGTTTTTCAATTGCAATAAACTGCTCCAGATAGTTTCTTATGAGTTCTGTTTCTCCATACAGGGAGCTGAAATCCCACAATTGTGTATTAGCCATAGGATTATTGGCCCTTTTCTGAGCCACTTGCAGGACAAGGTGTATCTGTACAGCTGGAATATTTTCGTGAATGAATACGAGCTGCTTCACAAACCAACAGGAGTGAAAAAATTAGCCGTTTGCCCATGGAGTCATTGGTGTCTTCCCATTGCAGTGTGGAAACTGAACCTTTAATTATGCATTTTGATTTGGATTATAATTTAGGAAAGTTCTTTATTTCTTCAAATGAAGATGAGATGCAAGAAACCAAAAGTATAGAGGCTGTAAAAGGAAATGAACAGTTCCAATTGTGAGTAAATTTCTTACAAAGTCATTTATTCTGCATAGGTACTTGCCTCTCTAGTAGAAGCCTAACAAACCTTTGTTTCATTTCCAGAGAATTAAAGAGCAGAAAACTTCCTTAAAACTCCTTAGAGTTTAATCTCTTGTAAAAAGAACAATGTTGAATACAAAGAATAAGCTATATCTAAAGAAGAAGAAATAAAAGGTGGGTCAGGGAAAACAGCAAACAGGACTTCTACAGGGGTGACCCACATGTAATTTGTCTTCAATATCACTTTTCTGCTCTTAAAAGTTTTACTGGACAATTTTGTATTTAAGTAAGCAAAATAAATATTGCTTTGACTGAGTTTTCCATAATCCCCATTAAAGCACCTGCTGAAATTCTTTTACCTACAGGGAAAAAGTAGGCAAAAGGATCCATTTTCACCAGCCTCCAAACCAAGGTACAGAGGGAAGCAGTAATGGCAGCAGTGCCACCCAGATAGGACTGAAGAGCAGTTCAGGCCCTTCATTTGAAGAAAAACAGATCCAGAATGAGGTAGGACAGCTCATACATATATGAAGGCTAGTAGAAGAGAAATTTCAACAAGAAGATACATATATATATATATATTTAGGAGATTGAAGGAGGGTGGTGGGAGTGGTCCCAATTATGAAATAGTTTCATGAGACATATAGTAAAACAGACTGAAAAATGATGACAAAAGAGCAATGTGATCCTTTGGCACATGGAGTTTCATAGTTGAGGGTGCCACCAGAGTGTGGTTGGTATTTTGACACACATAATGAGCTTTACAAGAGGATAGAGTAGCATAATCTTAGTCCTGCCTTCTGTTTTGCTCTCGGAAGAGGGGTTTTATTTRCGGTGTTGAAAGG